TATCGATATCAATACATCGTTGCAAATATGTGTGCTTTCGTCAAACAATTAGCGTCTGAAAGGCTAAGGCGTCTGCAGCTTCCGCAAAAAGGCGTGCAGGGGGCAGTGTATGCCATCACTGCGGTGCTATAGCTGGATAAGATAGGACAACCGTGAGGCTAGAGGAAGGAACACTAAAACTGTCGTGTAAATGCTCCTCCAGTGATAAGGGTAAGGCGGTTCGTATTATCTTGAGCATAAAAACGTAAAGCAGACCGTTGCATGTTATCCTTTTCCGCTGTGCAGTAAAAGGCACATTTAAAACCGTGCTGGAGGCGAGTCCAGGGGCGACAGAAAGGGATCTTTAAGTGGCAGGGAACGGTAAGCCGTCTGCTGCCGGCCGCGGCAGTGGGGAACGTTCGTCACGTGCTCCTACTTTGTACACGTGCACGTGCACACGTGCTCCTGCCTCCTACTACGCGTACTATTCCTTTGGAAAAAGGGATACGCCTAAGGCAACTGCTCATGCATGGTATGTAAGTACCATACTTAATTTCCTAATTATAGCATCATTTTTCACAATAGCGCTCCTACCCACATGAACTTCTCTTTTCATCACCCCATGAGGCTAATTATCTCCGTCACGCACGCTTTTCTGAAAAAGCGTGGTACCATGCTAATCGTTCCGCATACATTCAATTGTTATCGTTTTGCACTTTTTGGTACCGTCTCCTTGCATCTCCTGGAAATGCTTAGGAATTTCAGGTTTTTCAGTCGGAGCTTTGAGATGGAATTCTAAAATCCTACCAGAGTACCGAAATAATTTTTAAATCATTATCTTTTTATTTGCCCAGGTAATTTTGAAATTACTCGGTATAGGTGACAATTATTTTGGATAAAACTGCCTCAAAATCATGTTTCATTTTTCTCTTGATAATCGAATATTATGAAAACAATTAAGTAATAAAATAACCAAAATGATATAAAAGGTAGCAAAACCTTGCATAATGGAATTTTCTTGCAACATTCCTTTCAGTTAATGTAAATCTCACGGAGAGAAATCTAACGCCGTTTGGTTTCTCACAACCGGGTAAGATTTTTTTAGATCTTCGGGTAGAAGGCAAACCATTCCCGCACCCACCCCACCACCGCCCAGTTCGGAACAGATTTCACTGGTTTGTCGACTGATCTGCCGGATTTTTTAGATCTGATACCAAATGATTTAGATCTCAACACGTCGCGAGCATTGATGACGTACATCAATGTACGCTGTAAGGCGAGCATTGATTTTGTTAGAACCCCCTCGTAAGTACGCGTGATTCACACACAGAGCTGAGAATGTGTTGAAGACCGACAATCCCATCACTTCCTCAGAGCGAAAGTTTAACTCAGCATTTTATTTCGAAATGGAGTAAGTGTCAGTGACCCTGCACACCGGGGATTCGAAATTCGCGGGTCGGACGTACAAAGTTTTGACATTACGTTAGCCGAAATTCCAGCATGGGGCATAGGTGGTGGTTCGGCAGATAACTCTAAAAAGACGGAGGGCGCTGCATCTCGGAGGAGCGCATCGCACCATCCTGCCAGGCGGGGGTGGGGCGCGGGGAGCTGTCTGTTCGACCAGGCAGGGAGGAGGGGTAGGGGCTGCCAGTTCGCCCAGGCAGGGGGAGGGGGCAGGGGGCAGCGGGCAGGGGCTGCCAGTTCGGCCAGGCCGGGAGGGGGAGGGGGCAGGGGCTGCCAGTTCGGCCAGGCAGAGAGGGGGAGGGGGCAGGGCTGCCAGTTCGCCCAGGCAGGGGGGAGGGGGCAGCGGGCAGCGGGCAGGGGCTGCCAGTTCGGCCAGGCCGGGAGGGGGAGGGGGCAGGGGCTGCCAGTCCCGCCAGGCAGGGGGGACGGGAGCTGCCCGTCCGGCTAGGCGGACCACCAGTTCCGGCCGCTGTGGGAGCAGGACGTCAACACGTGCCGACGGCACACCGTCAGCACGCGGACCGGAGGTGATGAAGGGACGCTGACGTTTCGCTGACGCCACGCTGATGTGAGAGCGGCGAGCTCTAGCGTCAGCAGGGGTGGTGCGCCGCTTTGTGAATGAGCCTGGCAAACTGTAAGACAGGCCTGAGGTGGATAGGTAAACATTTGCGCTTCACGCCATGAGAAAACGGTGACATCGGTGAGAGAATAATGACATTCGCTAAATTTGTCACTGAAAGTTGCACGTAGTTTACAAACCATTAGCTGAGTATACGGAACTCCAGGAACAGTAAATGAAAAAGGAAGTGAATCTTTTAAAACCCTGCTACAGCCCTCTATGGTCACATAAAATCCTGCTTTAAACCCTCCATGGTTGTCGAGGCAAACCCAATGGCATGCTCTTCCCAGCAAACTAGAGCCGGTAGCTTTTGAACGGCCTGACCAAGCTTAATATATTGCACGAAGCCGGTACGATTAGGCAGAGCAGCAACGTGGACAAACGATGTGGGACAGGGTTGAGTATATCCATTAATGTCAGTGATAACATAATTGCTTTAATCACCTGTAGTACTTATCCGCGAGAAAGCTCATCACTTATTGATAAGTTTACGTCTTTTATCTTAAGACGTGGTTGTGGTGTGATAGTTTGCCTATTATACCGTTTTCCCACTTCTACAATCTTATTTTCGTAATAAACCTCCCTCCAACTGCTATATATCCAAACTGAAACTTCTCCAAGCATATTGCTTACCCCCAAAGGGGGTTTGAGGAGCGGAGGCCCACATTTTAACTCAGAACGGTACAGTTAGTCCTACCGTCCTTATCACATGGCTTAAACACGTGCACCCTCACATAGCATCTGAAAAAAATATGAAAAAAGAAAATCTCATGCCGGTATGTCACATGTGTACACGACCCCACCACCACACCACATACAAGAACCCCTTAAAATAAATACGCTCCTTCCAGATGCATTCCCACTGTCATTCTACTTCGCCCAAGCGGGATGCCTTGTGAAATATCTCTTCGATGCACGTGCCGCGCATTGTTTTGGCCGTAATTGTTGGATCGATTTCGCTTGAATAGAACTACGGGAACGCATCATAAGCAGACTGTTCAACAATATTTTATACACATCTTTCACCATATCTATCAGGGTACGGTACATATCCACAACGTACGGAAACTGCAAGAAGTTCGATTGCCGTTTTTTGTGGAAATAACTTGGCTCGATGTGACCTCGGCCTGGAGATGCATTTATTCAGAATAGCTCGGCTTCCTCCCACATGGCTCCAAACATTGGGTGTGCGTCTTGATCACATACTTCAGAGACGTGCTTACGTAAATATTCATGCCTACCAGAAGAAAAGCTATGATGTGTTACAGATTTGTGATAAATAGTGCTACAAAATTATCGTCCTTGACACCACCTGAAGCCTTTGTCGATTCCAAGCCCCAATGTGGTGTCGGAGGTGGACTCCGGCGGCTAAGACTCCGAACTCGGTTTTGCTCAGGACTCGGTTCTCTCAGGGCTCGATCCCCTCAAGACTCGGTCTTCTTAGGACTCGGTCTTCTTAGGACTCGGTTCGGCTCCGGACTTGGTCTTCTCAGGACTCGGTCCTCCCAGGGCTCGGTCCTCTCAGAGCTTGGTCCTCTCATGACTTGGTTCGGCTCAGGACTCGGTCCTCTCTGACCCCAGCTCGGTGGGAGAACCGCTGTCACCGCCGACTCACATCGGCACGGGACCCAGCTGGACGCTGCGACAGGTCACCGGGCCCATTATCCCAGGTCAGGACCCAGGTCAGGTCAGACGAGCCCAGGCCTCAGGGCAAGCAGGTCAGGCACCAAGTTCCGGACCAATTCGGATTCCGTGCCCAGATCAGGTCCGACCTTGTGTCGGGGCTGCCGAAGGCCACATCCGGTGACCACTGACCTGTCTCCGATGACATCTGGCCTTTCGTGACATCTTACTGATCTTTTGGTGACTTGTGACTGATTTATTGACTGTTAACAGACCTTGACTGACCCCTGATGGACTAGGGCTGATCTCCGCTGAGCTCTGACCAACATGACCTCTGATCTCTGACTGACCTTTGATGAACTAGGACTGATTTTCCCTCGCCTCTGACCTTTGATTGACCTGTGCGTTACGCCTGATCACCTACCGACTCAGATCTGAGTGGCCGCCGTCGCCCCCTGACTGACCTCTGATGGTGGCGCCGAGCAGGAACACGAGCGCCGAGGCGACGGCAGAGCCGGCCCACGGTGGCACGAGGGTCCACAGGTGGTCCAGCGTCGCGTAGTACCGCTTCATCAGCACAGGAGCGAACGGCTCGACGTGCGTCTCCGGAGGCGGCGGCGGCGAGCCGGCGCCGCCGCTGCTGCTGGCGACCATGCTGCTGCTTGCAGCTGCCTCTGGCCGAGACGGCGCTGGTGGCGGGCTGCTGCTGCTGCTGCTGCGGCTGCTGTTGCCGCTGCTGGTGCTGTTGCTGCGGTGTGTTGGCAGCGGCGGCTGCTGCTGGCGGGGACGCAGTGGCAGGCACGATGGACGCGTGGTTGTGGTAAGCACCATATCGCGCGCATCTCATGATAAAGCTGCGTGGGGTCCCTGAGATAGTGACGGGGAGCCGGGAGTGGTGACCAGCTAAGAACATCACCTGAGGTGGGGCCGTCGAACTGATGACAGAGCGGGAAGAGGGTGGGAGGAGAAGAGGGAGAGGGATAGAAAGGAAGGAGAGAGGGAGGGGTTAGAGGGAGAGAGACAGAGATGAAGGGAGAGAGAAAGAGAGAGAGAGAGGAAGACAGAGAGTGGGGAGAGAGAGAGGGAGGGGAAGAGGGAGAGAGAAAGAGGGAGAGGGAGAAGGGAGCAAAGGAACAAAAAAAACGGAGACAGAGACGGAAATGGAATTGGAGGAGACACCAATGCAGACAGACTCGGAGACGGGAACCCGTATAGTTGCCTACGGTGGCTACCAGGACATAAACACAATACGCATGCTGAGACCACCTCACCGGAGCACTGCCGGGAGCACTACACGTGCTGAGCACGGGAGCACTGTCTCATCACCTGCACCCCGCCGCGCCGCACCCCGCAGGTGTCACGTGACCCCGCGACTCCCCGGCCCGCCACCGCTCACCCGAGCTTCCACTGCAGCTGCGACCGCGGCCGGAGTGCCCGCGGGGCACGTGACCGCGTCTGGAGGCAACCGGGGCCTCGGTCAGCAGCTCTGGGGGCTGGCCGTCGTGCTGGTCGTGTTTCCGGGCGGCGCGGTCATAGGACGCGCCCCGCCGCCGCCGCCGCCGCCGAGGGCAGCTGGCCCGCTCAGGGGCGGCGCGGCACGCCCCGGCCATACCGCGCCCGGTGGTGGGACGGGGCGCGGGTGGTAACCGGGCGAGGGGGGGGGGGGGAGGGCTGGCTGGCCGGTCAGTCCGCCACCGACCACAGGCCACATGTGTCAAGGGGAAATGGCAAGCGCCTAAAGCGACTCGAACCCACCCTGCCACGGTTGATGGATCGTAAGACAGGCGCCCTAACCAACTGAGCTATCGGGACGGAACAGAGCATCGGTGGTGCGAGCCGCAGGATACAAACAAAATATGAAAGATATGAGTACTTTGATGCATGCAAAGATACATTTGTTGGCTGTCTTTGAACGGAATGTTCCACATTTGAAGATATTGAAGCAAGCATCATAGACGATAAAGTTAGCTCATTTCTAACTATTGGTATGCTTTTAAGTGGAAAGGCAGTTCTAGGTAACACCATTCCCTGTTCAGTAAATATACTCCTTATGCGTCATTGTTTGATTACAGCATCATACCTTGCACAACATTGATCGAGAGCCAATTGATGGTCGTCATACCCGGAAATCGTACTTACAAACGCAGAATTGAGCGACTCAACAACTGCATTGTGTAGCCTTGATCGCCGCACAACTAATGGAACGGCAGGATTTGAATGACGTTGTCATGGTGCTAGGGCTACCTGGGTGACCTTGCAATAGTATCCCTGAAATAGTCGGCACGTCTTCGCGTTGCACCCCGTGCACACATTCAGGCGGTCCCGGTGGTGCACAAGATCCGCGACGCTGCACCAGCCGAGTGCTTCTAGAAGGGGTGAAATGTGATCGCTGCGGCGGACACCACTCACTAGCCTGGCTGCGAAGTGCATCACCCTTTGCACCCTGTCTAGGTGACGCTCAGCCGCTCCATGACAGTGGTGGATATGGGGGAAGACGTGGATTTCGATACGGAGCTTCAAAACGTCAGAAACGAAGTGGTGTCGAATTTTGAACAGGGATACATGGATTGCATTACAGCGCCGAACGAAAGAGGAGATGTGGGGTTTCCAGGTGAGGTGGTGGTCAAGGTTTATACCAAGTACCGTGCCGATCAACATGAAGTCTGCCTGTTCGAGGTTCGTTTTCAGACTTTTTGACTGGAACCAGCTTCAGAGGCACTGAATGGACTCGTCCGACACGGGCTTCCAGGTTGGACAGGCCGACGACATCGGGGTGGCCTAGTCAAGGAGTTGGGTGTCATCAACGTAGGAAGGTAGGCGGCCGTGCGGTAGGAAGCTGGATAGGTCGCTGATGATGAGCAACAGGATCGGGCCGACAAGGGATCCCTGGGCCACCCGTGGGATCGGGATAGGGTATCTGAGCCACCACTGACCACCTGCTTCCGACCGCTCGGGTAGTCCCGGAACAATTCCAAGGCCCCTCCCCCCCCCCCCCCCGACCATTCTTGCTCGTTCCGGAGGATGCCATGAGCAACGCGGTCAAAGGCCTTGCTAAGGTTACTCGTCGTTATCGACGCGACGTGGCCGTTGTCGACAGTCCTTGCCAGTTACCCAACAGTGTCGATCAGGGCGTCTTCCTTCGAGTGACGTGGACTGGTAAGCATATTGCGATGGCGTCGGCACATGATCGCCAAGGCGGTAAGAAGTGGGCTGTGAGCAGACGACCTTCTCGGTTATATTCTTCAGTACATAAATTGTAGAAATGGGCCGAAAGTTGTTCAGGTCTGATCTCTCGTCCGGCTCGATTGCCTTGGTGATGCGCGCGATCTGCACGGACGGAAAGGTGCGTGATGTGATAAAAAAGTTAATCCGATGTAGAAGAGCGCCGATTACAAGGAAACGCTTTTTCACTGCATGGAGTGGTACGCGACCACGTCTTTAGAACCAGATGAACGCCATTGACGACGATAGCCCCCACGCACTCACCTTCCTGATGGCTCCAGAAAGCTCCGGTAGAGTGGCTGGATGCGGGTAGAACACCGAGGCACATACACGGTACGGGCGACACGGGCGGTAAACGTACAGAGAAGCAGAGCAAACTCGAGTACTGCACGAATATTCACGTATTCATACACCAGACCTGTTAAAAGCGTGTTGCAAAACTTTTATCGAGGCAAAGTTTTACGAAATGACGTAGACGACATTTTCGTAACTATTACAGACGTACCGATTGTTTGACCTCTTGACCTTGACCTCTAATGCGCTATCATGCGCATAACTTTCGGTCAGGTTATCCACCGGCTATCATCAGGTGTTGTTGAGCTTGGAACACAAAGGTGGCAACACATAAGGTGATCCTTGACAACGCCACAACCAGGCTTAGGGTTGCTTGATTTGGTTTGGTTGGTGCGGATTTGTCTGGTTTGGTTCCATCCAGCCCGATCCGGTCCGGTTTGACGTGGTTTTGGTCCGGTTCGGTTTGAGTTGATATTGGTTCGGTTCGGTTTTAGTTGCTATTGGTTCGGTTCGGTTTGAGGTGGTTTTGGTTCGATTCGGTTGGAGTTTCTTTTAGTTCGGTTTGGTTTGAGTTGGTTTTGGTTCGGCTCGGTTTGAGTTGGCATCGGTTCGGTTCGGTTTTAATTTCTTTTGGTTCAGTTCGGTTTGAGGTGGTTTCGGTCCGGTTCGGTTTGAGGTGGGTTTGGTTGGATTCGGTTTGAGTTGGTTTTGGTCCGGTTCGGTTTGAGTTGGTATTGGTTCGGTTCGGTTTGAGGTGGTTTTGGTTCGGTTCGGTTTGAGGTGGTTTTGGTTCGGTTCGGTTTGAGTTGGTTTTGGTTCGGTTCGGTTTGAGTTGGTTTTGGTTCGTTTCGGTTTAAGGTGGTTTTGGTTCGATTCGGTTTGAGGTGGTTTTGGTTGAATTCGGTTTGAGTTGGTTTTGGTTCGGTTCGGTTTGATTTGGTTTTGGTTCGGTTCGGCTTAGCGCCGCCCAGTTTGGCGCAGCCCGTTTTGGTTCAGTTTGGTCGGATTTGTTTTGGTTCGGTTCGGTCAGGGCACGTCGACTTAGGTCATGCCAGGTCAGATCAGGTTAGGTTAACTTGCCTTTCACGAGATAAGCTGGAGCTTGGATGGCCGGGACCTTACGCCGCAGTAGTGCTGTCATGAGAGCGTCTTGTTTACATCCTTTTTGTCGCGCAGCAGTTTTAACCGTCGGGCGGTAGAAAGCTGAGGCATTGAATGAGTCCATGTGGCCCTACACCTCATCGAGGGAAACGGATGTTTGACAGGTTCAGGTGATTGGGTATCTAATTAGCAGCATGCTAGAATTTAGGGCACGCCTTCGGAAGGCAATTCCATGCGTTCGCGTAAAATATCATTGCATCTTCCCGTGACACCGAACCTACGCTTGTCATGTATATCGTGCTTAAAAAACGTGCGTATAACGCGTATGACACATGCCTGTTGATAGTCTCCAACAAAACCCAGCAGCAAATATCAGGCGACTCATGTGGCGTCTGACACCAGGAAGAGGCTACCGTCGAGAGGCCGCGGGGTCCTGGCTGACCCCTGCCGCGACGTGCGGATGGCTGTCTGTGACATCCATCAATCACCAGTCAGCACACCTCGTAGTATATGTGGTCACACTGATGTCAACTAAGTGTGAAGAAGCAAGCTCACTATACGCACGGACAATAAGCTCTTGATTGTTCGGCAAGGTTAAATGTTACACTGAAAAAGCTCGTCTTCAATAGACCAGGAGACACCGGTTAAACGAAAAACTGTAACGATCGCTGGGTTATATTCAAGACTCTCGAGCAACAGGCCATTCTCATGGTCATTCGTGAAGTCGTGAACAATGTTGACTCGCGATGATTACAATGAATCTGTCAAACCAACAGGATCACGTGGCAGCGACACGTCAGTCACGTGACATCAAACCATGCCCTCTTCTGACGGTCTACAACAAGCAGGCGCCCACACCCACATCAGCGCAGGCTCAGATGGACCACTTCTGCTCATCTGCAGCGGTCGCAACATGGCGATGCTCCCCTAACCCTGCTGACCTTACCCTGACCTCGCATGAACCTGATATCGATCCATGGCACTGCAGCTGCACAGCACAGGAACTCAACACTCGCAAGGTGGCAGGAAAGTCGTCCCCCGTCGGAGGCGCTCACGCAAAATGAGCCACGAAAGGGCAGTGCACGCTTTATCCGCCAATCACTAGTGTTCGCCAGCTACTTAATGCTCTATGAACCTGCACCACTCAAAATGCGTCTTTTGTACCTCCGTCAGTCGCCGCACGTCCTCTGTAATCTGTCAGTCACCGCACGTCCTCTGTACATCCGTCAGTCGCCGCACGTGCTCCACTGAGGCGCCGTGGATCTTCTTCAGGTGCTGTCGCAGGTTGTAGACGTTGCTGGCGGATGTGCCGCAGATTCGGCAGGTGGTGAGGCCCTGGTGCAGCTTCCGATGGTGTGCCAGCGAAGTTGTATGCCGGTACACCTTGCCGCAGACATCACAGGGGTACAGGCCTGATGCCGGAGCTGCAACACAGACGTCACGGGGGTACAAGTCAGCTGTCACAGACGCCACAGGGGTACAGACCAGCTGTCGGAGCTGCAACACAGACGTCACGGGGGTACAGGCCAGCTGTCGGAGCTGCAACTTAGACATCGCAGGGGTACAGGCCAGCTGTCACAGACCCCACAGGGGTACAGGAAAGCTGTCAGGGCTACAACACAGACGTCACAGGGGTGCTGGTCAGCTGTCGGAGCTGCAACACAGACGTCACAGGGGTACAGGTCTGCTGCCATCTGAAATCACATCGTCCCCGCGTCAGCCAACCGCGGTCATGCCATCTCGTGGACACCACGCACCACTGCCGTCTCTCAGTCATGGCGATGCTGCCCTCTGTTCCGCTTCAACGCCACCCCCAGCGCCATCTCACGGCAGTCGCTCGAGACGCCCGACGCCGGCCGACAGCCCGCGCTATCGGCTGCCTTTGATCAACGCATAGCCCTGTGCGTCCCATGCGCGAGGTAGTGGGCCAAATACCCTTCACCCTCATTATTGACAAATGTTGTAGTTCGGCACCCCGGTACCACCCAAACACACCAAGGTGTTAGTGATCCCGATGACTGTAGGTGCATGAGCTGGCCGAAGATTGTCACGTGTCAGCAGGCCCCAGGTTTCAATAGAGACTTACTCAGCCAAAATCCGGGTAAAAATTATCCAGTGACAACATTTTTACGTGCTTGATTACAGTCATCAAACAGAAGTGGAGTGGTCTATAATTTCGTCTTATATTTTTTTTATAATTTCGTTAATAGTCTAAAATTTCGACATCTCGTTGGAGTCGATGTGTTTGCTGTGGTTGGTACGTGCATGGCTTTTTTCGATAACGAAGACCCGGGCAGAGGGACTCCGCTGTTATGCATGATTATCTTTCCAGCATCTATGATCCACAAAAATCTACCTAAAATACCTTACTGACCTCGGATCGTTTAATGCCTTGTGACCTCGAGTCATGTCATTTTATCTCTGATGTCACATATATGTGAAGAGTCGGCCACCGGCCCCGCGCCCAAAATATTTCTGGGAAAGGGAATATTACATGACTCAACACAACTCATTACAAATGAAACCGTTCCAAACTAAAATGAAGTAGCATGCTTACGTCATGGGTGCATCCACCCAATGTTCGCACGATAGACAAGATTCCTCAAACCACCGCTAGCATCCTCATTACTGTATTTGGGCACACCCAAGTGGGGAAGGGGAGAGAATGGCAAGCTCATGACTCTATTCAGGCACATCGAAATGGGGGAGGGGGAGAAGGAACGGGGGGGGGGGGGCACAGCCCCAATATCTACAAACTTTAACTCGCCGCTGACAGTTTCACGTGGAGAGCCACGGTGTCTAGACTTAAACTTCCCCTTCGAACTATCGTTGCGTGTTGAGCGCCTTGGATCTAATGACAGGATGCGTATCACTACTGCCCTCGGAACACAGTCGGCCTTCTTAGAGCTAATTTTACAGCCAAAGCATATCTGAAATTATTGGCATGCTACTAATATCCACCTTAGAGCCTACCCCAATGAGATATATGAAGTTACTAGCCGTAATTGCGACGTCACTTTCATAATCACGGAGCGATTACAGAAGCCTTCCGTTCCAGTACGGCGATTCGAATGCCGAGATGACAGAACAATAATCTGAGCGCCATCACACCCGTGGAACTTCCCATTCGTACCCACACCTAAAGTTCCACAACCTATTCAGTGCATTAGCGAGGAACGTTATTGACATAAAGAAGACAGTAGTATTAGCCTTATTCCTCGAGAAAAAAAACAGTAGAATGGAGATACAGCTTGGTATGGAGATACAGATGGATCTCCAGTCTCCCGGTTTTTCCGAGAAATAAGGCTAATACTACTGTCTTGCCACACCTAAATTTCGGCTTATTTTACACTCCATGTGGGTAGGGGGTGGTTATGGGAGCAGCCTAGCGTCGATAATAGCGTGGTTGAACGAGTCAATCGCTTCAATCATGGAAGTTTCATGAAATCATCCTGGTCACACACACTTTAAATTGCGCCGCGTACGCACATGAGGCTGGGCAAAGCTTAACCTTGCATTGGTTTTCGGGTCTCGATGAACAAGACAAATTTATGAAACTAGGTGAAATAAGGATAATAAGATTACATATGATTTAGAACAGGGGCAAGTCACCATACTTTGCCAAGCTGTCTCAGCGCACGTATGACTCGTTGTCGTAGCTCAGGAGCGCTATCTCGCACAAGAAGTTGGGGAAAGTTATCGAGCTATCGTTTCACATGCGCTTCTTCTGCACCAAACTTCCCTTCGCTCCAAAGTGGAGTTTGGTCAGGCTTGGGAGGTGCTAACCAATTTTTGGTTCAACTTTTTCAGATCTTGTGCTAAACCATTACCACGTCGGATGGCGGATCAAATCAAGTCAACCCGGCCCCGTCAACATCGATTGCTGCCCTGCCCCCCCCCCCCCCCCTTGCTGCTCCGCCGCCACTTCGGGGTCTTCGGAGCATGTCCTGGATCGTACTCCGCAGGGGAGTAAGCTCATGGAAAACCTAGTTTAGCGAGTTGACTGTATTACGTAAGTTGTTCAGTGCGTTAGCGAGGAGCATTAGTCACACATATAGTCCAGCAGTATTAGCATTATTCCTCGGGAAAAAAACAGGAGAATGGAGACATAGTTAGATGGACATTTCGGCTAATACTACTGTCTTATCTGGGTTGACTGCATGGCGTAAAACAGCATGGCGTGTTTTCAATCCACTTAGCTATTAATGTCTTACCCGTATGCCTTTAGTGCCAACTCTTGTTCATATATATATATATATATATATATATATATATATATATATATATATATATATATACCCGGATAATATATATATATATATATATATATATATTATATATATATATATATATATATATATATATATAGCGCTCTTTTACAACACTGTCTACATGTGCTTAATAAATTTGCTAATGAGGGCAAACGACCCGGGTTGAAACGGAGTAAAGGGACAAGGGAGTGAGAGACAAGAGTGCCCTCAAAATCTGACAACAAAGATATTCTTCATTGATCGGAATGCAGCGCGTGTATCTTCTACTCAGTCTGTACATATATCTTGCACCCAGCAATGACAGGCCATGCCATCTTTTCTGTGCAAGGTGATCGAGTCAGTCTTTGACGATTTCCCCCTAAACAAACGAGCTTGACAATGGGTTTGACCTCCGCATGACTGGTTCGAGGGCGTTTATGGAGTGTGTGGGAAAAGTGAAACGCTGTAGCTATATAACAACTCAAAAAGGCTTTTGTGCCTGGTCACATTAATATCATCAGTGTACGTCACGTTTTCGCTCATCATTGCAGGATAAAGTTCAGATCAAATCCGATTTATCGGCATTTACGAATCCCCCTCCCACCCAATCATCAGCGCCGTTCTGTCAGCCCGATTCACCGAGTTTAAGTACAGGATCACATGCCAGAAACTAACGGCACATGCTACCATTACGTTTGGAAGAATGACCAGAGGGTGCGGAAGATAGGTCAAACCCGGTTAAGGTTGTCTGATGTAAGGTAAGGCGAGCAAGTCTCTCAAAATCTTCACCAGAATCCTTCGAAAGCTATCGAAGGGATCAAGCCAACATTTACATAGTTAATTCCAAGCCCACTTCCTGCACATAAGGTTAGAGAGAGGCTTTGATTATCATTGACCACTGCCCCGTTAGCACATATCATCGCCATTGTCATATATCATTGCCGTGGAATGCCACAGCTGATAAAAGTGCGGTGACCGATGTGATAACGCGTTCGTATCCTAACAAGCCGTGCCGTAATTATTCATAGATCACAAGGCAGCTTGCAATAACCGTATATTACTTCAAGCAAGGCGCTGGAGCGAATTGAATATACCGCCAGAGTCTAAGTAAAATGATGATATTTTTCGAAGATCCGTCTCAAGCCAAATGACACCTTTCACCATTTATTTCAAAGCGCGTCGCGTGATGTGACTACCCGTAATTCCCGCAGTTCGAACAGGAGCACTGGATAGTACGCCGGTCGCAAAGCTTTATCATTACCCACAACACCGTCACTTATTTCAATGGCATCACAGCTGTGCGTTTGCGGAAGCACCAAACAACAACCAACTAGTCCCCAGCTAAGCAATCCTTGTTTCCAACGCTACTCAGGATCCCGAGACCGACATCCATCATGTCTCCAAGGGCGACATCAGACGTCCATCATGTCTCCAAGGGCGACACAAGAAGTCGCAGCACCCGAGACAAAAAACATACGGACTCACATCCAATACAAACCAAGTCTGGTGGACTTTTACAGCCGGCAACAAGCATCTTCGCGAGACACGCCGAAAAGTAACTGAAGTACCTAACTTGGGCAAGCCTAGTCCAAACTTGGTCCAAAATACCATTCAACACAATGTCGTCACATTGCTGAAAACATGGCGCTTCACAAAACACCAGAACAGAACGCCAAATCTGAAGAGAACACCACGAACGTCGTGGCAGAGCACAGTCGAGCACACCGCTGGGTTCCCATGACACGGCCATGTCTTGGCCGAAGCACCCTGGTCGGCTCACCTGCCCTCCCGCCTCCCCCCTGGCACGTAGGGGCCAAACTCGCACCACCCACCCACCCACCGGTGCACAGTGGGCCAGTCACCGCGACTTCGTCACGCGAAGAGCCAACACACGACGGCCGATGCACGCACAACAAGACGCCGGCGCCCCAAGACCGCACCTCGGCGCACAGTGGGCCACTGAGCACCGCAATCCGCACGCCCGCCAGCCACCCGGCGCACTTCGGGCCCTCGCATCACGACCAGCCGCCAGGACAGAGCTGCCGCAGCTGCTCAGGCGGCAGCTTGTGCACGTCCAACAGGTGGCGGCGCAGGTGCGTCACACGGCTCGAGACTTTGCCACAAATGGTGCACGTGGTGAGCCCACTGTGCATCTTCATGTGCAGCTCCAGGGA